AGTTTAGATGTATGAACTTTATGTGTATGCTTATTTTCTTTAGTTTCATGGGTTTGAAATATCATATTGCTAAGTTTCATTAGAGACATGGTCACAAGAGAGACAAACATTAGGAGAGAGGATTACACTTCATACTGCTAGCGAGAATATTAAGGCTATGTTTTTTTTGATAGTGAAGGTATAATTTTAAAATATTCCGGACCCACCTTCTTAGCCCGTGTTCCCCCCCACCCACCCCAAATTGGTTCGGACTACTTTAAGGAGGAACTATTTAATCCCCCCAAAAGTGTACTATTATAAACCCACCTCACCCCCTCTTTTACAATCAATGTATTATTTATCTAGGGGGGTTAAGATTTTTGGACAAACATACCCCTACCATTTTAAATTTCTACTGATTTTTTTCCTTTGATATTGCCATCACTTATTTTTTTCCCTTTATCAACTTCTTTTTTTTGCGTGATGTTTATATCGCTTTATTTTTCGCGCTACCGGACGGGGGGTGGGGGGTCATCGACATCTATTTTTTGCGCAAAATCAAGCGAGAAATCGGCCACCATTTCTATGAGAACTTTTTCATCATTTTGTTTCCTCAAAGCCAATGTCAAGAGAGCACATTAGCTTGTCTAAAGAAAAGCAAATCGTGCATCAAAATGATCTGCTCTATCATCACCATGGGTTCACGCTTCTATGCATTACTTTGAAGTTATACATTAATTTTATTTCATGGTGCAACCCTTGTTGAATTCGTTCTTGTTCTTTTTCTTTCCTCTTTTTGGTGGCCATGTATGTTTAAGTAGTGTTTTTATTTTTATTTTTCCATTGGTTTGTAGTTTCATTTTGTGTAGTTTTTCTTAAATGTCAGAGTGAGTATATTTACAATTTATAACTACTTCCAGAATTAGTCGAACACACTATCATGAATTGGCATGTTTATTTTCTTTTTCTGGGTTGGTCACTTAGCATTTCTGTGCGGTACTAAGAGATGGCTTTTTTTTTATGCGCAAGCAATATTTGATATTTTGTTGGAAGAATTACATTTTTAATTAGAGGTTTTAGTTTTCACGATTATATTTTGTTAAATGAATAAGTTATTTATTGTATCATTATTGGCATAGGGTAATATGTGGATTTTTTTGACAATGTCATGCCCATGTTTTTTGTTGTGAAATAGATGAATTACTACAATATTAATAGTCTTGACGGGGGAAAAAAATGTCATTTTGCTTATGACATTAGTCTGAACATTCATAATCCCCTAAAAACAAACACTAATATGGATTGTTTCAAGTTACTCCGAATATTAGTTCATATGAAAGCAAACATTAAAGTGAACTAGAATAGTTCGAGGATAACACAGTCCGAATACTATAGTCCGAAGATTATATTACCCCTTAGTTCCAGGATAGAAAAACAAATATGGCCGAAGAACAGGACTTATCTCCTTGTAGGAGGACGAGGAATCTTCTATTAGTCTTTTGGTGGATGATTATCTTATGGCTGAGACTTTCAAGATGCAGACCTTTTAAGGAAAGAATTAGCTAGATGTAACGCCCCGCCCCAGAATCCCGGAGTCGGTACGCTATTAGGTCTGATGGACTGGCCTCACAAACCACCACATGTCTTTTCAGCAAGTTTTATCCTCACTCACGCGCTCCCTGGAAAACTTCCCAGGGGGTCACCCATCCTACAATTTCTTCAGGCCAAGCACGCTTAACTTTGGAGTTTCTAAGAGTTGGGTTCCCGAAAAGAAGATGCATCTTGGTGGTATGAGTATTCCAATCAAATCTATCAACACTAATCACATCACCCTCTCAAGGGTTGGGGTATTACAATCTCCCTCACTTAAACTCGCAATGTCCTCGTTGCGCCAAATCATATCATCCAAGATCGTACCATCCGTGTGAGATTCTAGAGGTGGCTCCTACGACCTCAAGAGGTGGCTCCCGCCCTCTCGACGTAGCACTTTGCGTCGCATAGCACTTAGCTCTCACAATTCGGGTTGGCTTGGCTCTGATACCATTTGTAACGCCCCGCCCCAGAATCCCGGAGTCGGTACGCTATTAGATATGATGGACTGGCCTCACAAACCATCTCATGTCTTTTCAGCACGTTTTGTCCTCACTCACGCGCTCCCTGGAAAACTTTCCAGGGGGTCACCCATCCTAGAATTTCTCCAGGCCAAGCACGCTTAACTTTGGAGTTTCTAAGAGTTGGGTTCCCGAAAAGAAGATGCATCTTGATGATATGAGTATTCCAATCAAATCTATCAACACTAATCACATCACCCTCTCAAGGGTTGGGGTATTACACTAGAAATTGCAGGTTAATAGAATTTTGCCAATAGAAGTCATATGAGGAAGTTACCTATCCATGTAGATTATGCATTCCATATTTAGAGAAAATAGAACAGGCAATGATATTATTCATCTAACCCTAATCTTTCTTAAATAGAGATTAGGAGGATATTATAACATAGATATGCGATAAAATCATATCTAATCACAACCCACAATATCTCATAATATTTACCAAATCTACTAATACCAAGTTATCAATAACATACTATATATGCCCAACTTGTTATAAATGGGAACAAAACAACTAGTTGGAAAAGCTTTGATAATGTTATCTTTGCTCGGATTACTTGAAGATGTCAGCAATCATAAAAGTGTAGTCATAGCTTGAAGTAAGCTAGTAGAAATTCTAGACGGTAAGTCAGTAGATACCCTAGATAGGTAAGTCAATGGAAACCCTAGGCAGGTAAGCCAGCATGAACAATATAAAACCTTTGATTGATCTATCTCTCACTCAATCGCTTGATCTTGATGTTGGTGTCATTGACGAGAAAGATGATAACATCAGGACACCTCACAACAAATCAACAAAGTTCATATGATCTAATAGGAAATGCTGATCATTGAAGCCAATTTGCATGCAATAAGAGATCAGAGAGGTACTGTTCACAGAAAACCGTACATGCGAATTACTGTTTACATGAACAGGTAAAGCTGAGCAATAGTAGCCGCCTCCCCCCTCTCTTTTGTGGAGATAGTTCTTTTCTTATGTTGTTTAAGCTAAAGATGTGAATCCGCCAAAGCTGTGGTGGAGGCTGCCGAGGGGAGTATGAAGCCAATGCAAAAACACCTTCGACAGCCTCAAGAACTAGAAAGAGAGAAGTTTCTATAGGATCAATGAAGCTTTGATGCCATGTTGAGAAATAGGAAAGGTAATATTATTATTCATCTAATCCTAGTCTCTCGTAAATAGAGATTAGGAGGATATTGCATAATAAGTATGAGATAAAATCATATCTAATCACATCTCACAATATGTAATACCTCATGATATATATTAAATCTACTAATACCAAATTATCAATAATATCTAATACCATAATTTCCATTTATTGATTTTTGGGGAAATCTGGTTCCCTGCTCCCTTATTTCTAGTATTAGACATTTTTCCCATGTGAAACAAACCCACATGATGGCTTGTCAGTCCCAACTTCAGAAAATGTTCTGTCGATCGCATGAACATACTTGGTTCTTGTGATTTGCAGTACTTGTAGTTAATAAAGTAAATGTGGGTCATCCAATTTGCCTCTGAATTATATGCTTTTGTAGATGGGTGCAAATAAGATAACGATGCTTGGTCATATTAAATCACTATCACATCCACTTACATGTACATATACTGATGCACATACATATATACATGCATGCATGCACAACTGTTACCTCGGTACTTCCATCATGAAGTCATACCCATAACTGACACGTACCAGACACTTATCCGTACCCAAACTTCATGGACACTCCTTGGATATATGCATACATTTATTCAGACATGTGCTCAACTATATGATATGTGTTTTAATTTTAAAACCCTTGTCAAACACTTATTGAATGTATATCCTACGCAATGTTCACATCCATTTCTTGAAACTGACATAGGCGTGGTTCGTTTCAGCCCATATCCAAGTTTAAAACTATGATTTTCAAGGGTCGTTTGGGTGTCTATTTCAAATACGAGTAGCTTCCAATTTATAATAATCAACACAATAAAAGAAACCTAAAAACATGATAGGAATTTAATTCTAATAACACATGAATTGAAAAACAATAATGATCTCATGTAAATTATTAATCTCAATATATATAGATGTAGCCGTGTCCCTGTACCCTACATTTTACAATTTTGCCATTAAAGTCCTGTAGCCGCACCCGTACCGGTACCCTTACCTGTTTTCCTGCAACTTAGATGCACAGACACATTCTTGCATGTTCCTTCATAATATGTACGTGCAATTTTATCAATACAGATTTGAGTGTTAAGTCTTTCTCACTATATGAGAGATCACCGGCAAGAACCTATTCTCAAGCTAATCACTGGAAGAATTGCGAGAGTCATTTTTTGACAATCCACACTGGTTATTATCTTGCTGTAGGCATCCGTAATAGGCTAATAATAAAATGTCAAGAATTTTGTAGATCTTTTACTGTGTGTACAAGGGTTTGTTTTTCTATATTTGGCTACACTATCATCTTTATGGTGACTCACTTGAGCATGAAAGATATCTCACGACCATCCCATTTCTTGTTCATAGACTAAATTGGATACTGAACAAGATGAATGGTATATATCACTCACGAATGCTCCATTATGGAGTTCTCAGTTCTTACTAAAGTTTTCACCGTGTAGTTCTCTGACATACACGCACAGACCCATTTCTCTGTTTTCTCAGTGGCTCATACCCCATCTTTGTATCCTGTAACTCATGCAGTTTATATCCCTTCCTGGAATTAGATCCAGTTATGTGAAGCCTTGTGTCTTCAGACTAGAATTGGAGAAATATGTGGTCACGTTTGAGCTCACTGCCAAATTGTAACAACCTTATTTTTTCACTTCCTCTTGCTCGTTTGTTGCTAATAAGAACTTATTTTGTATCTACTATCAGCATGGAGAAACTCATTAGTTTTTTATCGATTTATTTGTAGGAGGGACAAGATTAAAAGCATTGCAAAGCTGATGATGGAAAGCTTGGAGGATTGTAATCGTCTCTTCTGATGTTAACGATGTTGGTGTTTTTTTTTTTCATGCGTCTGCAGCAAAGTTCTAAAGTTGCAGTATTGTTATTCCTCTGTTATTCTCATGTTTGCTGGTTGAGAAGCAGATAATAAATGTTTTCTTACATTTCATCGTGCAAACTACTAGAAGTGAGAGTTGGAAGTTTTTGATGCCATACCTATTGAAAGTTCTATCTAATGTGAAACGTTTAAATTCATCAGTGGGATATATAACTTGATCAACTGTGGAAGCTTCGTAAATGAATTAATCGACATTGTTGACGCTCAAGTAATACACTATTATCAAAACTCCAATTCTTGTGAATGTTGGGCTGGAACAAGTTAATAGCGTGTCTCGACAAAAGTTATTTGCAGATATACATTCCGCAAAGTCGGGATACACATGTGCCAAAGTTGGGTATGGATGTGGATATACGTACGGATATATTTAGGGATATGCATGTGCAATACAACCGGATATAAGAAAAGTAAGATTGGAAAATAAGAAAAAAAAAAAAGCTTATTGATACAAGAGGATCCATTGATATGTCTACTAAATCTGAAAAGCAAAGACTACACTTTACATTTATTGATGGATCATCAAAATTAACCTTAGATCTAGTAATCATAAGATGAAATGTCAAGATCACACATTACATCTATTGATGGATTATTAAAATTAACCTAAGATCTATTAATCATAAAGATCAAAACAATTATGACGATAGGACCTACATATTACGTATAAATATTTAGCTCCGAATCGGTGTGTTTAAGGTACATGAGCACCCAGGATATGACTAAATATATATATATATATATATATATATTTTCCCCACAGATGTCATGTTAAAATTACATTTCTGACAAAATTAACTTATCGACTCTCACCAATAGAGCGATAAGTCCTCAAAATTGTCCTGATCGTAATATTTCTCTTGTCACGTTAAAATTACCCCTCTGACAAAATCAACTTATCGATTCTCTCAATAGAGCGATAAGTCCTCAAATTGCCCCGATCGTAATATTTCTCCTGTCATGTTAAAATTACACCTCTGACAAAATTAACTTATCGACTCTCCCCAATAGAGCGATAAGTCCTCAAAATTTCCCTGATCACAATATTTCTCCTGTCACGTTAAAATTACAGGCGCCGACGAGGAGTAACGCGTACTACTTCGAGATGAAGGTCACGAACGCTGGCGATAAGGGGCAGGTGTCGATCGGGTTCACCTGCCGAGATTACAATCTCAGGCGGCAGCCGGGGTGAGAGGCCAACTGATTCCTTTGTTTCCTTCATGGGTTTGCGGGGTTTTTAGCTCAATGTGGTGGGATTGAGGGGTAGATTAGAAATTAATAGTAATCTTGGGAAGGTTTCTGTAGTTTTAGATGGCCTAATCTTGGTTTGATGGCCTAATCTTGGTTTCCCTTTGATTTAAATACTAAGAGTATTTGATTAACTTATTGCAACTTTTTTTAATAGTAATCTTGGGAAGGTTTCTGTAGTTTTAGATGAACTGCATCTTACGCAAGATTAATGGGCTTACGCTTATCTTGATTGATTTCCTCATTTACATGACCTATTTCATTTGTGGAACGTGTTCGATGAAACTTATGCTTTGCAAGCATTTGTCTAATATAGGGAAACATTCAAGGTTCTCCTGCATTCAGTTTCTTCTTGACCCCTACTGTTGGACTCCTGCATTTTCTTGTAATAACATTTAAATCCTATCTTATAGCTGGGAGTCAAATAGTTGCGGGTATCATGGGGATGATGGCTTTATCTACCGTGGACATGGAAAAGGAGAAGCTTTTGGTCCAACGTATACAACTGGTGATACAGTTGGTGCTGGTATTAATTATGCATCACAAGAGTTCTTCTTCACGTAAGCTGGTTATCTTCGATTGTCAATCACGTCTGCCATTGTTATGCGCTACTTTCTCCATTGCTCTCTAATTGTTATTTTATTGCTCTTACAAAATTCGAGCAGAAAGAATGGGAAGCTGGTTGGAACTGTTGATAAGGATATTAAAGGCCCCTTATATCCGACTGTTGCTGTTCACGGCCAGAATGAAAAGTATGTCATACACCACTATTCTGAATCCCTTTAATCTATATAATTTAGAGTCCAAAAAATATAGCTTTCAGTGCCTTGTAGGATGATTAATTAGAATTTGATTCTAATATATCGCTTTGTGGTTTCGTGCACATTTTCAGAAATTGTGTTAGAAAAATCATATATATGCAGTTAGAAGACATGCTAGAGGACATGCAATTTCTGTCCTATTTTGGAAATTTGAGTTTCAGAAATGTTCCTTCTTTCTCTGAATGAGCAGCATGGGTAAATTTAGGTTCATAGCTTTGATGACTTTTTACTATCGATATTGTATACATGTAACTTATGTTTTTGGCTGCTGGGGCTGTGGACAAAACATAAATGAATTATATGCTAGTAAACAAATCACACGAAATTACGCAACATGGATACCTACAATATATATTATTGATGCAACATGGATGCCTGTAATATATATTATTGTACATGTTAGCTAGGCTAACCAAAACCGATGTGCTATTTAATGTATTTATTTGTGCATGAACTAGAAATTTGTATGGGTTTCTGTGGGCACTTAACCGGCTAAACCAAATAATACACAAATAAACCAGCCGGCTACATATATGCTTTCAACATAACCTAAACCTATGTGTCTGATAAATTGTTAGATATAAAATGCCTAATACTACATTTTTGGTGTTACTTTTCCTCAGATCAAAATGGTTTCAGGAAAGTTTCTTCCCAAAGCACATTTGTAGAAGTTGCTTATTGGTAGTTGTGGTGTTTGATGGAATTTATATATCATGCATCCAAGTTTCTAAAACACAGCTTAAATGAATGGTCAATGATAAGACACAAAATAGCCTCAACAACAGTAGGTATGCATACCATGGTTGAAAATGTCTTATGCCTGATATCTTAACAACAAGCAGAAGCACATAAAATTGCCTCCTTTAGACTGCCGATTGAAACGGCAAACTGTATTTTCAGAGAGCAGAAGGGTCATAAGGTCTTTGATCTGCCATTGGATGGGCTGAAAGAGCCATGAACAGGTGGGTAGCTGTGTTATGGGATGCTGAGGCTGGTGTCAATTTATACATCCATGTGCCCATAAGTGTCTGATCAGAGAAGTTCCCCAAAAATGATCCATGTGTAGAACTTAATCTTATAGCTCAAAATATTTAGAGTTCCAAACATGGCTATGTACTCAGATCCATACCAATATTTTCATTGGTTGATAGAAACGATGTAAACATTTACTTGGCATGTTTGTCATCAAGAACTTTCGTATGGATTCTTAGCTCTGAAGTGGAAAGGTGGTCATTGTGCGATGATATTATTCTTGAAGAAAATTTGTTACCTTTCATGTTAAAATTTGATGTTGCTCTGTTTATGGTTACAATTATTATTCAAGCTAATGTTTTTCAATAATTGTAAGTGATTTTGATTGGTTATTGCGTCAGGGTGACTGTTAACTTTGGGCAGCAACACTTCCTGTTTGATATTAAGGTATGTGGCAAACGTTTATTGGTTTCTGTTGAACATTCTGCAGCAGTTTAATTGATGAACACCTTTTCCCTCTATGTTTATGAAATGCTACATTTCTGTAAATATTCAGAATTTTTTGAATGACTACGTAACTGTTTACTTGTTCGTGCTGTATAAGATATATAATTGGGAGATTTCAGATATGAGTTGTAGTATTTGGTTATTTGGTACCATCTATTTATTCTTTCGATACATGATTCAAATATGAAAAGATATAGCCCATTGTAAGAAGACTTGGGACTTGTCCTTTTCTTCTGTTAATTTTTCTAATTTGCATTATGTCATCATCATCTTGTCAGCAGTATATGTGTTTTGTGATTCTTTTAGACCCCTTCTGGTGACTTTTCAAAATCTGTTGTTTTTTAATTGTATGCAGACTTATAGATCGGAGGAAATACTAAAGCAGCGGAAGTTGTTTGAGAAACTACCATTGCCACCAAATGTTAGTCACTGGTATGTCTTCGAAATCTAAGTGATGACATTTCAACAAGAGGTTAACATTTTCTCAGTGCAACTCATGTAGATTGATGTCATATTAGGCAGGAAGAAGAAGAATTTTCTTATGTGATGGCAATGTACAGATGGGAGAAGCATCTTTTTCTAGATTTACATGAAACTTCTGTTTCATTCTCTCTCTCTATATATTATTTATAATAACTTCACAAATGGTTATCTGCATCTTTCATATTATCTATAAAAACTTTATGATATTTCAACCAATGAAAATTACAAGCACCCGTATTGGGTGTCTATTTCTTCTCCTCCCTGTGTGCTTATGAGCATGCACAAATGCATGTGTGCATACATTTACATGTCTTTACTAGTTTTCTTCCTCCTGTCACTTCGAAAGATATATACAGATTAGTGTGAGAGATGTGGACAAATATATCCCACATAAGTTGCTATATCTGTCTTTATTCAGAATTGGCTTACTGTTGCAAGATGCCTTGATTGAGGTTTATGTAACTTGTCCAAAGTTTATTTGTGGAGATAGTGTTAGCCAATACCACTATTGTTTTTAATGGTGGGCAAATAATCCCTCAGTGTTTCATTAATAAGAGTAATGAACTATAAAGATACTAAATAAAGCATTCTCCCCACAGAATGCACGTAAAATGCTTTTAAAAAAGAAAAAAAGGTACTGATATTGAAGCTTGGTTAAGGATGCGTAGGCTGGATAGGGCACTATTTGTTGTTGGCTTTTCCTTTAAGATCGTCCATGAGCGCGTCTTGCTCTACATGCTGTCGATTACCATAGTCTTGATAAACTTGCAGTCCCAATTCAGTCTGGGTGAACTGTGCAAAGAATCTGGCTGGGTGGTGTGCTGCCTTTCACATCTTCTAACCGTGAATCTATCCAGAATGTGAAATCGGTAAGCATCTGAAGAAGAGTATGTGGTGCCAAGATAACAATATTCCTAAAAATTTCGATTATACCCCTACCCAAAACTAACCTATCTAATTCAAGGTCAGACTACTGGAGGTGCAAAAAAGCTCATAGACTCTGCATAGAGATGAAATCGTTGTACCATCTTATTGTTTGTCTGAGTTAACTATCTATTGCGCCTCTTAAACAATTTCTAATGGTAGAAGATTATGTATCATATCCTCTCTGTGAAGCTCCTTGATTTGATCTTGGTGGTTGTTAGAACATTGTATTTCCACCTCCATTTTGATTCAGCTATGAACTTCACTCAACTTTCGTTATCCTTTTATTTTCCCAGGGCCTGCTTGATCTGATGATTGTTTTTCTAGTGTAGTACATCATATCAGGGCGAATCAGCATTACAAAATGTTGTAGTTATCATGTCAATTGTCAATGTTGGATATGCCATGTTTCACCAGTGCCCATCACACAATCTTTATGCGAGTTACACCCATCATGATACTCAACCAACCCTGTATCACATAGCTTACTGGACTTAATGACTAGGTTAAGTTTAATTGTTTCTTGCAATATGACTATTTTAATTACATCCCAAGGATGCACTTTGATTAAGTCCATCATAAATAACTTCAGTGACTACTTAATCTGTCTTTATCATCGCCATTAAATCACTACTTTGTGATATGGTATCTGTTATTTCAAGTGTACATAACTTTATCTTCGTTTCTTGCAGGATCGTTCGTTCCTATTTGTTACATTATGGTTATCAAGATACCCTGAGTTCATTCGATGCTGAAAGTGAGAATTCTTCTTTGAGGAACCCTACAGCCCAAGAAAATGGCATCAGTGAACAAGAAGATGCTTATGCGCTAAATCACAGAAAAAATCTGCGCCAGGTATCAGGAAGTATAACCTTTGAGAGTGAGAGATGACTACAATCTGTCAGTTAGCATCTATTTGATCATTTATTCTCGCAAGAAGCCTCCTTACAGAGTGAATTTTTCACTTGAATTCCTTTGTCTACAATGTTTTGAGTTATATGCTAGACTAAGTGGTGATTATTCTTGAGGTTTTAAACAGAGTTAGATGAAAGGCTAGTGTGTTTCATCACGCAGTAATAATAATAAAGCATGTTCATTTTAAAATCAATTTTTATTTCACACATATTTCCCATTTTCTGCATGTCATTGACTTGACATATTTCAAATTGGAAACAAAATCTTTCTTTTTGATGTTGTCCTATGGTTCGCCACTTCCAAGCATTCATGTTATTTTCTTCTTTTTGCTTGTATGCGTCTTCTGCCAAGTTGCGTGGGTACGGGTGCGGGTACGGGTGGGTGTTCATATGCAGGTATGGGACACGACAAAATTGTAAAATGTGAGGTACAGGGACACAGCTGAAACTCATGGATATAATCATAGTTCCCAGCTATATGTGGACATGAACTTTTTATATCATAGTTCTTAAGGTTGAAATGGACTCGACCCTTATCCAACAAGTTGCAAAAATAGATGTGAAGTGTAGGATATATATTCAAGAAGTGCAAGATCGAGTGTTTTTAAATTCAACATGCATTGTATAATTGAGTACATAGGTTTTCTGTAGGATCATTTTTCTTTGCATCATGTGTTTTTCTGTAAGATCAATTTAGATTTGATAAATTTATTGTCTTTACTTCTTTTTCTAAACTTTTCCTTGGAGAATTTTCGATGGTTGCTTCTTAGTTGCATGAGCTTAAACTGCACGACCAAAACCTTTTAATTCTTAGCTGTTATTAAAAATTCTGGGTTTTTTTTTGTGTGCCAGGCTCCTCTTTTTTCCATAAATCATTTGCAAAAAATTTTGTAGCAGGGTCGTTGATGTTAGATTGACAGCCATACAGTTTTCAGTTGTTCGATGGACCATTCTTGCTCGATACCTAACTCCATTTGTGAGGAAATGCACAACTGATCATGATAATTTGTAGTTTACAGTATGGTGGCTGATTTTCTCTGTCGTTCACTTGTCATGTGATTTGCACCTAATTTCATATGTGGTTTGACATAGAAATCCCTACATGGTTTGATATGATATGAATAATCCATGAAAGAAATCCACACCTTAAACGTCTCTTATTTATTTATCTTTAGTAAAAAGTTTGGATTGGAGGGGTATCTGTGGCATTGTAGGCCTTTTTATCCTTTTCATATGTAGCTTTCCATGGACAGAGGAAGCAATCATATTGTCTTCGTTTATATTGACTTATTTCTTTCTCTTAGCTCCATCATGTCCTCCTTGTTTGCATTCTACTCTGCACACCTTGCATATCTAAATCACATGTATATAAGTAACTAACTACTAAGTAACTCACTTTCTGTAGGATCACCAATGCTTCTTAGTCTGTTTTGATAGTTTAAATTGACCCCATGTTACTTCCTTTCCTCTATTGATCTCCTCAGCAAGCATCAAAGTCATCTTCCTCTTGTTCAACTCTCCTTCATTTCGTACGTCTCCCATAATTTTCATATTTAATGAAAATACACGAGGTTCAAGATGGATGGTTTTATTAAAACTAGTCTTTATATTTCTTGGGGAATCTCGACTCTATTTATTTTTAGTCTATTATATGATATTCCTTTCCTCTGCGTCAAGCTAAGTATGCCTCATTTTGCTGGTTGGTTCATTTTCTGTATAGCTTTCGCTCCGATAAATGCTTTACCAGTTGTTTCCCAGTTATATTACCGGATACCTTTGAAGAGACGGTGTTAGACTTAGATCTTACTTCCTGTCAAACTAAAGAATAACCAGAAAGCTAATAGGGGTTGAGTCTGTTAAAATAGAAGGGGTCTTTTATAGGATCTATCAAGGATAGTAAAGTCCTTACTGGGTCGTCCCTTCACATTGATTTGGATCTTGCTCCATCGAGTATTGAACCCATAAATTAGTGAGTCAGGAAGATTATCAGAGTTTCCCTCACTTTATAGTACACTTTATACTCAACTGGGACAACACTGCCTGGTTTATTGTTTGAAAGAAATCATAATTCTTTTTTCTTTTGGTTTCCTGTACTAATTGTTCATCCGTTCCAAAACAATTATCAATTGTTGATGATCGTTTGATCTTATGGTGAATTTGTTGTGCTGTCATTTCTCAGTTTGATCCATTAAGTGTCAGGTTTTGGACTCGGCATATTGTTATTTATATATCTTTCCTTTTACTGAGCATCATGAGAACTAATCAACTTTATCATGAAAATGTTACTTCCTCAGTAAGCTTCATCTGACTAGTTATTTTTTCTGTTTAAGCTCATCAGGAAGGGAAACATAGATTCTGCATTTCGTTATCTTCGAAATTGGTATCCTCAGGTTGTGCAGGTATGACTTATATCCTTTATGTTAATTGTAAAATAACTGTTTTTTAGACTACTAAAACTTGCTACAACTGCACTTAATTTTTTTTCTTTGAAACCTAAATTGAGGTGATTATAATAATATACATTTGAAAAAGGTATATAACAAGAAGGATGACGTTTACAATGAAGTCGTTACTCAACATCTTGGGATCGGTGAATTTATTTTTCCGTCATGCTCTGTTATGTGTATCATGTCAATTAAGTAACAATTAATATCCTTTATGATTATTTTCATTGTGTTTACAGGTCAATTTTTACTCCTTACTCCATTGACTATAATTCTATCTCATTGTAACATGCCCAAACCTTCTCAATTGGCTCACTTAGGTGCAGACTCTAACTTATGACGAATTCACTCATTGTCTAATCCCTCAACTTATTGCTTTAAAAAAGGCATAAAACCACATGTAGACTATTCTCACTCGTTAAAATGGTTCATGGGAAGATAACAAAAGTGTTTGGAAAAGAAGTGATAGACGAAGTGCTACGTGCTAAGATCTTTCGTGTCCAGTAATTGTCTTCAATTGCAGTTAGCATGCACAGCCTTCTCATGTTCCCTTGGTGGAGGCTTCATGTGCAGTGTGCTGTCTGTGCAGGTCCTATCCAGCAAAATAACTCAATCTCCTTTTATCTTTATTTATAGGAATGCTCCTCTTCTCTTATCCATAGTTTCATTTGCTTAGCTAGTCACTGCTCATCCTGACTCCTGAGTAAAGAGTTTCTTTGTCATTACTTATAGTCTTATATAATATTGGTTTGTTTTGCATATAATCCCAACTCATTCTATTTTCGTTACACCCTCAAATCTAAATATTTGTCAATTTACCCTCTAAATCTCACACATTAATTCAACATACCCCTCAACTACTAACATTATCAAATCTTAAGCGGTTGTTAGGTGAAATTTCACTTTTAACCCTCCCATCAGTCGGATATAATTCAAAACATAAGCTAAATTAGTCTAGAAAAGCCTAAATTAGGAAACGTTCCTTGATACTGAGCTTTGAGACATTATCTATATATAAAACTTAACCATATGATAAAGTTTGTTTTGACCATTCTTAATGCTTCAGCTAATAATAAATTAAGAGGATGCAACTGATGTAATATTTTGGTGTTACAACATACAAACAGATACAGCATGCACCTTGCTCATTATACTGTTATCTTGAAATGAAATTATAGTACTGGTATTTCAATCCCTTCTGTACTTATGAGTTAGTTTGTATTTTAGTTGGCTCAAACTGCATTTCATTTATCTAGTTCCCCGTTATTTTTGCTGAGATTAGCATAAGTAATCCACGCCTTTTATTTGTCATTTTCTTGTTAACAAATAAGGAAAGTGCATCAATACCCCTCTATTTTTAAATTTAATCCATGTTTTTATCATGAAAGCTGTAACTAAAATGAAAATGATCCTGCCCTTTACAGGTGGAGACATCAGCAATTTGTTTCTTACTTCATGCCCAAAGGTTTATTGAACATATTCGGGTAAGTCTATATTTTTTATGTGGTTGCATCAGTTCATCATTTTGTTTTAGTTCGTTTGATTTTAGCAAATAAATTTTAATTCTTGTAACTCTTAACAGTTTCTGATATTTTTCAAGTGGCAGTTTCATGTTTCCATGATATCTACTTTTGTACAGCTCTTGAATGCTTGAGGCACTGAACATATCTGTGAGAATATGGCAATTGCTCTGTCTCTGTGCATGTATGCGTGCATCTCTTACTTTTCTTATTTTCTTAAAGAAGGTGGGGGGTTCAGCATGAAAGGATCATTGTGCTTGCTGCTCCTCACTAGATGCAGTTGTTCTAAATCACCAATATTCGTCGCTTGGAAGAATTTTAAAAAAAGGCATATCTAGGAAAAGGGAACTAGCCCATTAGCTAGATCTAAAAGTACAAGGGGTTACCACAGATCTATGCCGAAGTGTTGACGGTGATTCTCAAATATCGTAGAACAGAATGTGATACGATGAGATAGAATGCAATGGAAACGAAGACATGGAAGGGGTTATACCTACCCTTAATGATCAAAGCGAGCCCTTGCAATTACTTAGAAGTACATTTTGTGCAACAACCCTTCCTAAATAGAAAATGATCCTGTGATCCTGAACCGATCATACCTGGGATCGCAAGTCCCAAGTTTGTCTATGAAGAGTTGATATATTAGTTTCTATAATTGATTTCTTCTGTGTAATACTAATTTATAGGGCTTCATTGATAAGTGCTACAAGATCTCATGCATTGGAACGCATGGTGATAGACCTGAATCCATTAGTATGGAACATTTTCTTTTCCAAGTGAAATCCCCTAGGGAAGAAAGTGGACCTCCTACCAGCAGGCAACTGCTCATGTTCTCTGATGATAATGGGCATAGAAAGCCTGAAATCTGCTAACTTCCTGCAACCAAATCAAATTACAAAGGGGAGGAAAGGCTGGAGGAGCTAGAACACTTACAGTGGCTAGCGAACACTTAAATACCAAATCTCATTCAATTTAAATGCAAAGAGAAAGTAGCTCATTAGTATTTTCTCTTTTGAATATTTAAGTTGGACTACTGGGGCTATAATTTTCTTCTTGAAATGTTGATGGGAAGAAAGAATAGAATTTGTTTAGTATGTCAAGCAACTATAATAAAAAGTTAGAACTTCAATTTGAGTTTGTCGCACCTATCCTTGTACCTTCAATTCATCATACATTGGGAAGTTGTCTTCCTCAATTGAGTCAAGAGTAAATGTTCAATGGCGGGAAAAGTGACATTTGGGATATAGGCTGCCATAAAGGCTGCCCAATATTTTTATACTTTTGCTTCAACCTTATTGTTCTTTAATATAACATTATTTTGTACTGTTTCACACTATTTGATGCTTGTAAGCTTTATCATTTCCATGTATAATTAATTTACATATTGAAAGAATATGATAGTATACATATTAGCTTATATAATAGAAAATCATTTAGGAAAATAGCTTTAGTAATTGGAATATTGCTAGGATAGGGGATATACTACGCGGTTTGGTAGGATGCAATAGGAAGGGTTGCAACTGAAGTTGCATGCAACGAAAGATGGAAGTTGCATTTTTGTTCAATTGCAAGTGTTTGTTTCATTGCAACTATAATCGAAAATGCTCCTCTACTTGCAGCTTTCAATTTATGCAAATTGGAGCATAATTTGCAGTCCAACCTTGTTGCAAGCAACCCAAATTTATAATTAAAAAACCATAATCTCAAAATTGTTATTTAAAATTTCAAATATTATTTCTTAGTATTAAATTTCAAATATGGTTATTTAAAATATTATATTGTTTGAAAACTATTATTTTTATTGAACTTTTTTTTCTTTGGAAACCATTATTTCTCATAAAATATTTTTTTATAAAGTTTATTTTTTATAAATACATTCTGTATAACATGTATTTTTTTAGTTAAATGTAACTTCTTCCATAAAATACTTTTTGAAAAACAATGTTTTTCAATAAATATTTTTTTGGAAAAAGCACTACATGTAAAAAATATTTTTTTGAAAAATGCATTTAAAAAAAACATATATATGTCATAAAAATTTTAATTTTTTTGGGAAAAGGTTACTTTTGAAAGTGTTGTTTTCATAAAATATAATTTTTCGAAAGCTATTATGTTACAAAAAATTATTAATTATTAGAAAATAATATTTTTAGAAAAAAATATATTAAAAATATTTTTAATTTTGTGAAAATAAATGTTCTAAAAAAAGTATTATTTTGCTAAAGAATATTATTTCTCAAAAGTATTTATTTTTCATTTATTCTTGTTTTTTCAAATAATCTTAAAAGAAACATTATTTTTGAAAAATTAAATATGATAAAAATAAAACATAACTAATAATTCAATTTATTAAAAGTAAAAAAGCAAGTTGAATATGAAAAGTTACAAAGAGAACCAAACAGCTATAGCTACAACGTTGTAAAATTTAAAAATTAAACATGACAATTGCAATTGCAATTGCATGCAAGAATTGTTGGAAAGGTTTAGTTGCGTGCAAATGGTAGTCAAATTGCAACTGTAGTTGAATTGCAACTACTGGTGCAAGCTAACTCAATTATATATTAAATGAAGGCGTCCATGTTTGGTGCGTGACAATATGATGTTTTTTGTATTATATAAGCTTTCTGGAACTCACTATCTTATATAAACCGATATTAAAAATTGGAAAGTGGTGATTTATTCTGATTTGCAGAAACATTTAGCGGTTGTTAGGTAGATTGCAACTGTAGTTGCAATACAACATGTGTGAAATGGAGGAGTCTTAAATTGGTGCATGAAAATGTGATGCCTTTTGTAATATATAAGCTTTCTAGAAATTACTATATTATATGTAAGGGCCTGTTTGGTTGGGAGTGAAAACCCAAACAATGGGTTTCCACCTCAACCATAGAAATCTAACTTCTTAAGATAACTGCTCTTCTATCATTTGTTTGGGGGTAAAATAGTAGGAGAAGAGCTTCTATAAAGTACATGATTTGACAAGCAAAAGTGGAAAAAAGTTTTCACCGACATGGGACGAAAGTCTACTTTTTTTCAAAAATTTTAATAGGAGAGCATCACCCCCGTTTCTACAAAGTTTCTTGATAATAAACTCCCTTCCAATCAAAAGAAACATTTGAAATTTCTTCTATCCCCCTCAAAAAGGGTTGAACCAAACACAAAAACATAATTCTAATAAATTGTTGGAAATGGCAAGAATTGTATTTTTTTTTTCATAAAAAGGGTTTTCTAGCAATTTTTAGAAAAAAACAGCCCCTAAATCAATATTAGAATTTTGCTAGTGGTGATTTATTCTGATTTGCTAAAATATTTCAAAAAATTTATATTTTTCAATAAGAAAATTTAGCAGCAAGTAATATTTGGAAGAAAAAAATTTAAAAAAAAACTTCTTTGACAAAATAATATTGTTTAAAAAATAATTATATTTTTTGAAAACTTTTATTTTGGAAAAGCATTTTTTTCAGAAATTAATATTTTTGAATGGAGTAAATATTTTAAAAACAAGTAATCTATTTTTTGGAATAACTACATTTTAAAAATAATTTTAATTATAAAAGTATAAAAAATGAATTCTAGACAATTTTTTAAATATTTAATGAATTTCTTATATTTTTTAAGTTCTAAATAATTGATTTTTTATAATACATTTACGTTGGTTGCAAATAAAGTTGAAAGTGCAACTTGCGCTCAGATTTATGTAAGTCGTAAGCTGCAACTTGGTTTTTTTTTGGGGTCTGCGGGGAGAGAAGGAGAGAGAAAGGGGGGGGGGGGCGGTGCGGGCGGCAATTGTTGCAATTGCCAACATCTAGTTGCAATGAAACAAACACTTGCAGATGGACAAAAGTGATCCGGGTGCATGCAACTGCAGTTGCAACCTAAAAAACACCCGTAATGTACCCATTACATGGTTAGAGTTGAGCTCCCTATTAGTGCAATATTGGCAACGCTGCGTATGGCATCTTTATTAGCAACACTTTATCTTTTGCTTAACTTGCATGATTTGTTGAGTTAATGACGTGTCTACCTTCTGTTCTTGTTGGTGGCATGTTACGACATGCTGTAAGGTGGAAAAGGAATATTATATAGATGTTGTTAAGGCATCTGTGATTGGCTTTCTAAACTTAAAAGCTCATGGCTAGCTGGCACATAACAAAACCATTTTTCAGTCACATAGCAAGTTGGTAGATAACTGAACCTTTCTTGAGTCTCAGTTTACACTAACGCATGGAACAATTCTCTAAGTTTCTCTAGACTAGTAAAGAGTCTTAGTGAAAGGATAACATGGTATAGTTAGCCATTAGTATTTACATGTTGACTGGGAAAAATCTAGCAAGAGGTAAGATGATACAATTGCTGTAGATAATCATGTCCATTTGTGAGAGTCAGACCATTGCCACAAGCAGCTAGAGTCACATTCTCAATGTGATTTTCTCTTCCACCCCTTTTCTAGTGAAGTTAGCTAATCACTAGTTTCACATTTGCTGTTATGGAGAAGACACTGCCTGGATATCATTTGTTGGTTTTTGTACTTGTCAGGCACCATCATTTATTGTCTTTGTGGGTGAACGAAGTTTTAGAGAAGCTTATGTGATGCAATTAAGTGAATTTGGAAAGTATTCACTTGAAAACATTTTAACTTTCTAGTAATAAACTACTCATGTTACTTTCTAATAGTTCAAAAGTAATTGCATGTTGACCGGGGGAAGTCTAGACAAGACACAAGAGGTAAGATGATACAATTGCTGTAGATAATCATGTTCATTTGTGAGAGTTGAACGTTTGCTAGTAGCAGCTATAATCCCACTGTGGAAGTAATTTTTCTCGCAATCCTTTTATTGGAAGTTTGCTAATCACTAGTTTAAACATTTCCTATTATGAAGAAAACACTGTCTAAATAGTAAATATCCTGTGTTGGTTTTTCTTCATGTGCCAGACCATAATTTCCTATTATGAAGGAGACACTGTCCGAATAGCATTTGTTGGTTTGTGTACTATTTATCGCTATTGTGGGTGCATGAGGTTTTAGCCGACCTTATGTGATATAATTCATGGATTTGGAAATTGGAAAGTATTTTCTTGAAGAATGCTAACATTCTACTATTCTAGTATGTAATAAACTACACATATAACTTTTTAATAGTTTAAAAAAATTTATGGAGCCTGTTATCATGACATTTTGTAGAGTTGGGAATAAGGCAAATGTTTTATATCTTGAGAGTTCGACACCAAAACGTTAGTTTGTCACTTGTTCTATGGGAATGATAGCAGTAGATAGGCATAGAGATTGGACCTTACTAATGAGATCATATCAAGTGGCAACTTGTTCTATGGGAATGGAAGCAGTAGATGAATATAGACAGTGGACCTTACTAATGATATCATATCAAGTGGCATTACATGCTTAATCTACTTCAGTGCCCTTTCTAGCTATGATAAGCATTCTGGAAAGAATTTTCTAATGATGATTAAGGTTTACTTATCTTTGTGCCACTATTTTTCTCCTAAAATTTTAATATGCTGAATACAAAACCCTACTTTTCCTTTGTTATCTTCTTTTCTCTGAGCATTCTCCTAGATAATAGATTGGGGGTAATTGTTATATCACAAACAACTGCTTGTCAATATTTTATTCAAATCCAAGTCATGAGAACACGACGATCTTCTATCTTGATTGTTCAAATTTTCTTTATTTAGTCTTTTTGGCAAGTCATCATTGATAAGTGGCACTAGAGATCAGAAATTTGGTGAAACTGGTCCGATGTTCAAGTGCATTTCAAGTATTCAACTAGTATTGATTTATATCTGTTATCAGTTTTGTTATATAAACTTCTTTGTCTTATCTTTTTATGTTTGGTGAATAGGATAATCAACTGCTGGATGCTGTGAATTATGCTCGTACAGAATTGAACAAGTTTTTGAAAGTTGAACCCTTTGAAGGAATGCTTGAGGTATTGCTTAGAAGTTCTTATTTAATCTTTAGTATCAGTAATGATTGTGGCAACTTTCTTTAAGGATACCTGGCCACTCGATTAGTATGCTTACTCACTATGAGGCATTAAATTTTGATGGAGGATATGGGTAATAAGATTTAACATTGTATTAATAAGTGCTCAGTTTATAAAGCGCACTTGTGCAGTGTGTGGTGCAAGACAGATTCGATTAGTTTAAGATTTTTTTGAAGGATCTGATTATTTTTTGTTTAGATATTTGATTAGCATGAAGTTGTTATTTAGCTATTGGAGTTTATTTTGTTAGGGTTTATATTTGATGTTATCTACTAGTTAAGAATTTATTAATCATTAGAATTTTTTTTAAGTCCTATAAATATGATTGTATTTTAGTCCTATAAATATGATTGTACTAGTCATATGTTTATATGAGAATCCTGCACGTGAATTGAAACGAGTATGTAGCATATAAATTGCCCGGGACTGAAGCCCAACAATTGTATTTTTTTTTTCTTAAGGAGTTTTTAGATATTAGTCCCTTAAAATCATTAGTATTTTGATATTAGTACCCCAAATTACCTTAATATAGTGAATTCTGTTAGTTTTACTGTTCAAAACCCTCAACCATGGTTGGATTAACACTACCCATGGATGGGAGAACTACCATAATATCCACCCCAGTTTAATTGTTTTTGAGAGAAGAAGAAAGGCGAAATGGGTTGGTCTTTCATTAAACGGGTATGGATTGAGGGGGCTCTTAATGAGTTAGGCTTTAATTGGTTGTGGGTTTGGGTTAGTTAATTAAGGGGCATAATTGTCCATTAAAGAAAGTGGTTGAAGTAATTGGTTTATTCCCCCACAGTTTTAACAACAGACTACATGGGCTAATAACGACATATTAAGGTAATTTGGGGGACTAATATCAAAATGCTAATGATTTAAGGGACTGATATTTAAAAACTCTTTTCCTTAAATAAGGAGTACAAATTTCAATACTTAGTTATTTATTTATTTATTTTGCTTTGTCCAAATAAATCTCCTGCACATATCTCCATCGTCCTAAATATGGAAACTAACTTCCTTATGGGAAACCATTAATTTTTCTTAGAAGCATGAAAGGAGTGCTTTATATTGCAATTAATGAACAGAATATTGATGGAGTATTGTACTTACTATGGTTAATAACATTTAACATTGTGCACCCTATGAAACTATAAGTTCCATATGAGAAACCATTGATTATGCTTTTAGAAGAGACAAAGTTGCGGCATAAGTATGGTTCTGTTCTCCTTGCAGGATGCCATTGCATTGCTAGCATATGACAACCCTGCAAAGTCATGCGTTGGATATCTCCTGAAACAAAGCCAACGGGAATTCGTCGCAGATGCTGTAAATGCAGTTATTCTCTCAACAAATCCCAATACGAAGAATGTCGAAAGCTGTATGTACTCATGCATGGAGAAGTTGCTGAGACAGCTGACTTTGTGTGTTTGGGAGAGGAGGGCTTTGAATGAGAACCAAGGAGAGGCTTTTGATCTTCACAGAGAACAGCGCAGATGGGGATGGAAGACCCTAGACGATTGATCATAGAGTAATCTCAAGTTTGTTTTGGTACAGTCGCATTTTGTCGGGGGAGGACGGAGGGAGTTTTAAGTTGGATAAATGTACTGCCTGAAGGTCAGTTTGGTACGCTACATTAGTGACTGTTGCTGTAAACATTTTGAAGTGGTGATGTTTCTGCACTCCCTGCAACTTCAAATTGTAAAGCTTGTAAACAAAAAACAAGGGGAAAAAATTCAGCTGCACGAGTACAAAACTTTTGCTTTTCTCGCCCTGGAGTTGAATTACATGTTGAAAGTAGAACGCCTTATTTTATTTTATTTTGCTTGGTCTGCAATACTTGAAAGGTTTTATTTTTGGTTATTTTTGACTCGAAATAATTCAAGATCAAGTTAATAAAATGTTTCAGGCGAAATTGAATGAAGTGATGAATGTACGTTAGTCACCTATTGGCGACGCTTGGTCTTAAAGGTGGCGGTTTCAGGTGGTTTGAGTTGGACAGAAAGTACGCTATTCCAGCCAAAACGACTTCCCCGCTGCGGGAGAGATCACAGTGAGAGAAAAGCGTGAGGTCCGATCTATTAACTCTTTTTCGAAATTGATGTCTTAGTAGCGGAGCTGAGGGGTGTCCGTTCGGCCTGACCTGGAAAACCGGGATCGGGCCGGGCAAAACTGAAGCCTGGACCTGGGCCCGGGTGCCCAGGGCCTGAGCGGGCCGTGCTTCGGGCTGGTCCGTTTTTTTTTAATTTTTTTAAATTTAAAAAAAACAAAAAATCATAAAATATATATAAAAATTACAGAAAATAACATAAATTTTTTAATAACTTGAAATGACATAAATTACAAGTGCAAAAAATTATAAAAATAAAAGATGATAAAAATAATTTCTTTATTAATAATCACTAAATCCTTTACAAGTATAAATTTATTTCGAAATTCATTGCATCACAATAGATGAGTAAATCTCAACTAGGTTCGCACATACTCACCCATATCACTATCATTTGTAACTTTTTCCGAAATAATTCATTACAAATTTAAAGCTAAGAAATAAAAATTATAATTTGATGAATATTTAATCTTTATATCTATCTGCTAGTCCCAACTCTTTAAATTTATCTTCAATTATAACAATCCGATCTGTGCCTTGTGTTCGCTTCTCGTACCTCCACCAATCTTGTAAGCACATCACCGTTTGTACAATATACAGATCTAAGCATGTCATGTGGTCGTTGATCAAACGTCCTGCTGTGCTGAAGGCGGATTCCGAAGCTACCGTCGAAACCTGCACTGATAGTAAGTCACGAACCATGATGAAAAATATATGGTATGAAACAGATCCATATACTCTCCACCATTGCAAAATATCTAAACCTTTTCCTTGAAATTTAACTAAGGAAGCAGAAAAATATTCATCTAATTCAGAAACCTCTAATCCTGAACCAATTCCAGATCCACCAGTTAGTTCAGCTACCATTGCATACCTATCAAAACTTATACTTTTACCTCGACCTGTGCTCAAAGCCGAAGGCGCTGAAGCTGTAGACTGTTGTGTAGTTACACCATGTCTAGCTGCATACTCATTATATAATGTTTGAAAATAATTTCTAATAGATAAATGATGAGAAGTAGCAGTAAGGGTGGAATCATCATATAAGTCTATAATCTATCCACCATACAATGACTGTAACAAACTTCGAAGACCAATATCCTTCAAACATGGATCAATAAGAACCCCCAAACCAAAAATATAAGGAATAAGCCTAAAATACTTATTAAATTTTCTCTCCATTTGAAAAATTATACTTCCGAAAATATCATTCATACGATATATGGCAAATTTTGTTTGAATATTTAAAATTTGTAAAGCAGCTAAAGTAATAGTTGGATAATAACAACCAGATAATAACATAGTAGCATCATAAAAAACTTGTAACATCTCATTTAATTTACATATAATTGTCCATTCATCTTCACTTATTCCATAAGTGCTATCAGAGCTAGAACTAGAAGCATAAAATTTATAAAATTATTTATAATTTCTTTATATTCTATTGCTACACTTAACATTGCATATGTGGAATTCCACCTATGGTCAACATCTTTTGGAATTAGTCTAGGCTTATAATTTTTTTCTTTTACAACATTGTTTCCATCTTTTAATTCTCATTTCAGAAGCATTATGCATATCAGCAACTGTTCTAACCTTTTCTATTATGGGTTTAATTTCAGAAAATACACTTTGAACAATTAAATTTAAAATATGGCAGATACATCTAACATGAAAAAGCTCACCATGACATGGCAATGACAAAGTTATTTTCAGAAAATCAACAGCTACATTATTATTACTTGCATTATCAGGTTTGACGAGAAAATTTTGTAAATGCGGGATAAAAACCATCTCTAAACATATCTTCAAATTCATCATCTTCTACTAATTTAAAAGGTAGGTTTTTAAGAATAATAAACCTGATTATGCATTTCCTAGCTCGGTCAGCGTCATAATTCCAACTACCGAGGGTACCAGAAGAGGAGGATTGGGAAATTATAGACTGTCGGATATCACCTTGAAGATTCTGGCCTTTGTTGTGTTTTTCTATATGGCGTTTGAGATGGTTGGTGCCGCTCTTATGATGAGCTTGGAAAACCTGGCCGCACAATGTACATTTTGCCTTCTGAGAGATGGATCCTACCGTGTTTATCCTTGGTGACGTCTATCTTCTCAAAAAAATTTCACACATCGGATCTCGGCCTTTTAGGAGCTCTTGGTGTAGTAGATTCTTAGCCACCAGATTCAGGATTAACACCGGTAGGAGGAGGAGTTGTTATAGGAGAACTCATCTCTGGATCGGTAGGAGATAGGTTTTGCTCTTCATAATCAGATCCAAAAGCCATTTGATGAAAGTATTAGAAAATATAAGAGATTATAAGATAGTATAAGAGAGTATAAGATTGTATAAGAGAGTATTAGAGAGAAGTAGATAAGTTTTGTTGTGAGGAAATGAAGTGAAACCCCCCCTCTATTTATAGAGGCAGCCCCATAGACAAATGACCAAAAAACCTCATATTCTAGCTATTTTTTAACCGTTTTAAGGGGCAAATCAGTTAAATGGCCAAATATGGCTGTTTGGCTAGGCCGGGTCGGGCCGGCCCTGCCCGGCCAAAACGGTCAGTTTTTTGACCGTTTTGGCCGGGCAGCCCGGCCCGACCCGGCATAA